GATCATTGCATCATTTGTTGAAGTTTTTCCACTACATTGTTGAATAATTCTCTTTGGTTAAACATAGCACATATATATTTTTTTTATGCATTTTCATCGCTCTGTACATTATCGGGTCTGGCATATCCAAAGGGCTGTGGCCATATTTTCTTCCAACATACCCTACTCGTACGTATGTGTGTGTATCAATCAATCTCTCCTCCTGCACTAACTCTACGAAAAGATACACTGCAACACATTTCCAGCTGACTATTGCTTTATAAATTTTTATTTAAAGAAACCACGAAATTATTTTACTCATCAACATTTATGCCTGAATGAACTAATTTTGAGTTTTCGTTCTCTTATGTTTTTAAATACTTCCAAAATTAAGTACTGAAAATCGGTGAAATATAAAGCAAGTTTCTTAAAAAGCAACCTACTGAAGTTAAACAATAAATAACAATAAAAAAAAAATACCAAGCCAAAAAAAAAATGAAAAAGAAAAACTGCGCGAAATTTTACACTCAAACGTTCTCAATGAAAAGTAAATTGAATTTATTACTAATATCAGAAGTATTTAGAATCTTAAATCAAGACACAACCAACTAGCAAAGAAGCCACGAAAAACGAGATTAAAAAAAAAAAAAACAAATTATTTGCAAACTTTTAAAATTAAAATGGCATATTGATGAAAACGATGAAATAAGAAACAGAACCATGCATAAACACCAACAACAACAAGGAACAAGGATAACACATAAAATAGTACGTCATAAATTCATACAAATGTGTATGCAGTTGAAGAAAAGTTATGAAAGCAAATAGTAGCAGCAAAGAATTGAACCGTAAGCTACATAAATTATAATGAAATTATGAAATCGAACAGCATTTTTTGGTATAGAATTTAATTCGCCATGAAAAAAAGATATCGAAACAAATATATACATACATAAATCTCAGATTATTTTTTTTTTTTTGGAAATTCGTGCAGAAAATATAAAAATTAATAAGGAAATCAAATTAATTAATACGAAGGAAGTAATAAGATAAATATTATTAATAGTGCAGCAAGCGTATATTTAAAAAATATAGTACTTGCATTCGACAATTACGAAATAAAGTAATTATTTAAATTAAATTTTATTAAAAAAAGTCAAGTAAAATTTTAATATTTCGCGTTTTCTTCTAATAATGACTTATAATTCCTAATACGTTGCGTGTTGTAGAGTGTGTGTGTGATGTGCGAGGTTTGGTATGTGTATTTTGCTCTAATCTTTGTTTTCAATTCGTGGGAAGCATACGCGTATGTAGCCTATTCAATAATAATGGCTTTAACATTTATTTTTATTTTTTATATAAATAGTTTTCAGATTGGGACGGGTCGATGTTATAAGCCCCGGTGGTTTGGCGCACAGTGCGAAAAAAGAGACTGTCAGACGTGGCAATGCAATCTATTTCGAAAAGGCTGCCAAATTGAGAAATTGTCAGAAAGCAGTTGCATAAGCAATCACACCTTGCATGTAAAGTGCCTTTCGAAATAGGTTTTTTATTTCCGAAAAGCGAATTGCTGGCGCAGCACGAGCAAGTTGAAATATATTTGCGAAATCGATTTGTGCTCTCTCAATTGCAGTCACATCTTGCAACTTTTATTTCTCTCGCTGATTTCCGAAATGTGACGGAAGGTCTTTCTGGCTGTGTTTACACATCGAAATAAAATTTCTCTTTCTCAATTTGACAGCGAATTGCGTGGAAATGATGGGAAATATGACCACGCCTAACAGGCTTTAATGTATCGTTTTGGAAAAAAATTCAAATCTTAACCGATTTACACATTTTTAGTTGCTATAGCTGGAGTATGTCTCATTATGAAGGTGGTTGCTTAACCCTACAGTTACATCGTTTAAGTTTTGTAGCACAGTTCCTTGAAAATGATAATTTTAAATCGAATTCCACATTTAAATTATAACAAAACCGCATAACTTTTGTTTTATTTTACTTAGAAAATATTAAAATAACAGCTTTTTTTTGTCGATTTGATGATTTAGAACTTAAAAAAAAATATATATAGGTGTGTTCAGAAATGCATCATGCCAAAGCATCAGTATCTTTTACTTCTAAATTGTAATTGATTAAAATGTTTTATTTACGCAACTAAGTTCCAATTAGGCATTTAGGGCCTGTTCGAGGAACGTAATAAAAACGGAAATACTGCAGCACTGATCAAAATTTGCAATACTGTTGCAACTTAACTTCCCAACTGATAAAACGTAGCTAGAAATTCACACCGAACGTGATACTTTAATAATAATTCGTGCAACACTGCGGTTGTGATTGCATCTCGATTGCAAGCTCTTAACCGTGTTTGCGCCTATTGTGGCTCGGAAGTCTTAAGGAGTTTTTGTATGTCGTTTTTGATGAGATAATACGATTCTTCAGCTGCACAGTCATGGTACAGACAAATATTCTTCTGGCAAAAAAGCGTTTGCATGCGGGCGGTATCTGGTCGCAGGATTTTTCATTCAAGCTTTGGAAGTGTGAAATTCCCTTACGGGAAATTTAGAAAAATTCGCAGCAGCCGTGCCATTCGCACGGGTCTAACACGGATCTTGTCATAACAAGCGAGTGGGAAGGATTAGATTCATTTGAATGGGATCCCTCGGGAACACACCTATTCCGGTCCGACTGATAAGCCAAAAGCCCTTCTGAGAGGACATCTTACAAAAGCCCTTCTGGAAACTCTTCTATGGGCAACAAAATCCGAAACCCTTCAGTACAGGAATGCAGAGTGGAAGGCTTCTTGACTCTCAAGAAGGCCTTTTGGCGGGGATTTTAGCTGCTGCATTTATCTACTGGGAGTGGTTCTAGCGAGATCGTTCAACGTGCCACACAGCGCACGCCACAACGGCCATTCTACGTAAACGATTTAACGGTTGGGTTAACTTCCACGCCATCATTATCCGATAGAGTGGTTGAAAATTGACGCACTGGGATCCGTGACACCATGCGAAGCCGCGAGGGACGTTTCAACCACGCTGCATAACACATAGAATAAGATAAAAGAGACAGGCATACGCGGTTTTGTACTTTAGATGACGTCTTGCTCCACTCGTTGACAAGAGCTCTTTTATTTTAGTTGAGATCAAGGGTAAGTAAGCCTCTAGCAACTGGGAAGTCTGATCGAATTTTGGGTACTCGTCGGCTAATAAATTGTATGCGATTGAAATTCACCGTGAAACCGACTGCTGAAACTCGATTTTGAATTCAACATTTTCACTGCATAATTTCAGGCGCAATATTTTTTGGCAATTGATTTTGTGAACACACTGTACCTATTTGTTTTTCCTTTATTTATTTTGTTGACGAAATGCCTAAAGAAATTTAATGTACATACATTTTTACAATCGAAAAACAAATAAAAATATATGTAAGTAAATCCGAAAAATTGCAAGCAAGAACTGTGTAATCAACTATTAACCATTCAAAATTTCTTGTATAACTAATGAGTGCAAAAGTTGGACCTCTTTCACGCCTATATAATGGTATAATTGGAATGGCAGATAAATTCGTACCAGGCCGTTGGCGTCCACTTTGGGAGCATCCAGCAGGTGAATAAATAAAAAAAAAAATGGCACATATAGAATGTATTATATTTACTTTCCCACATACTTATGTAGGTCCAAAAACGATATTTTTCTGGGCGCCATTGGGTAAATGGGTATGTTGGCCTCTATTTAAATCAGCGATGGGCAGCGAGAGTTTTTACTCTGCACGTGCCTATACAAAATGTATAGAAAGCTTGAAGGAGCTTTGCCCGCGGGCAAGGTGGTGCCCATCAACCATTTAAATATATATACATTTGTATGTACATATGTTAAGTTTAGCTCACAAGCTCGTTTTAGGCTCTCGTCATCGCTGGACTTGGAGACATAGTAAATCGTCCTGCACATTTACTGTCAATCAATCAATGCGCGGTCTTAGCTACAACTGGCCTAATTTGGTCCCGTTACTCACTGGTCATTATTCCAAAAAATTGGTCATTATTTTCAGTAAATATTTTTGTCGCAGCTACTCAAGCATATCAAATTGCACGTGCTTGGCAATACCAACAAAGTTTGAAAAATAAAACTGATTAAAAACCATATGGAATTCAGTAAAATCAGGAACGTCAATCGAATAAAAAATTTGGCCAGTTCCGTTACAAACGGTTTTTTTTTT